CCCATTTAAGCCGTCTCCAGCCATTATTAGTCTCAAAGTTGGTTCCTTGTCATCGAATTCGAAATTGTTGAAGATAGTTTTGTTTACATATCTTTGGGTCTCATATGTTATTAACCCTATCGCAATGGGAGTCCCTTTAAATGCTTTTCTGCACAAGTTACTGTGTTACATTCAAAATTTAATTAAATACCCTTAATATCAATGTATGTGAATTCATTTAATTTTATAATGTGTTATGATTTGAAGTTTTATTTTATCTAAGTTTTAAGTCCTTTATTTCAAAATAAACCTTTAAAAAACTACATAAAACTTCAGAGGTATTGTCATGTGACCAATGAGCTATGAAAATTCTCTACTTTGACACTCTGTATCATCAATAATGGAAAGGCAGTACTGTAGAGGTATGTCTAGACAATGAGATGCTTAGATAACTTTTGACTCTTTAGTTTCAAAATTCTGTGAATGAATACAGTTGGAACAAGTAATACCTTTTGTTTAACCCCTGAAAGCTGCCACACCCACCTTCAACAGATTTGTTTGAGCTTTATAGCCTCCATGTAGATATTACATACACATGTGTATAACCATTAGAAAAAAGATCAGTTTACATTATTATCTAACAACAGTTATTTTGAAATTGGCACCAAGTTGTCATCACAGAGAACATGAAATTGACTATAGTATGGTTGGCTGTTTGATTGACTATAGCACTTACAGTTGTTTGTTACCTAAATATGTTATTGTTACAGTTTAAATTGTATTTAGGTTTTACTATTATATTTTAGTTAATTATGTATTAGTTATATTTTAAAATGCATAATTAAAAGGTTTACACAGATTATAAATATACATCATACTTTGCATCCATTCTCAAGGCTTTTAATATTACACACTGAAGGAAAATTTTCCTGAAGGGTTCCAAAAGAAACTGTAATATGTCTCGAGGGCACCACTGACTTATGTCGAGACGAATAATAAGTGGTAAAGGACAAGAATGGAAAATAAAACATTAAGAATTAACTATATGTGAAAAGCAAAAGTCCTGAAATTACAAATATAAGCAAAACAATAACTTTAAAGATATTCTACAAAAAAAATCAAAAAGTATGTTTTTTTTTTATTTCCTAGTTTATCATTTCATTGCATTGTATGTTGTTGATGATAACTAAAGTTAGTGATATGGTAAAGAAAATGAAAACATTTACGTTAAAAACTCTGATATCCTTTTAGGAGGTTTTAGAGATTATGCAAATGAAATATTAAAACTATAAGACAAAAAAAGAATTTTTATATTTAAAATGAAAATCACCTTGCACTGAATTTGTTAATAGTTTAAATGCAAGTAACTACAACAGAAAAATAACATGTTTTTAGTAAAAACACTTAATTATAAAACCGTCATTATTTGCTCATGACCTTTAGCAAAACCATACCAGTTTTTGAGAAGATACATTCAGAAATCTCAGAGTTCCTGCGTGTATTATTTTATAAATGAAATTTGTGACTGGATTTTTGCAAATTTCATGAGCCTGCCACAAAAAGGTTAAGGAATCTATAACCAACAAAATCATAAACCCACAATTAATTTTGTATACAAATAGTCTAGAAAAATGTGTTCAAAAATTAATTGGGATCCATACACTCCACTGGGAATTCTAGTGTTAATATAGATGAATATGAATGATATTAGGCAACAAGTGGAGGAGGAAACTGATACTCTGTTAATGATAACCTGAATATGATGGAGGTAATGTTAGAGTTGATGAACATGCGAGGCAATTGTTACATTGTAGGTTGAACTGCAACATGTATATATGTTAAGCAGCTTAAAAGAGAATGAGTAGATGCATCTTTTAATGCCAAATTCTGATAAGGTATAACTAATTTGTTGATGTGTAGTAAAGGGCTTGTGCAATCACCATACTATCTTGTGGAGCATAGAAGATTGGATTGATTAGCTGAATAACAAAATCAGATGCAAATTATTCTTGCCTTCTAAAGCAAACAGTGTCCATAAAAACTTGTACCTATATATATTAATATGTATATAATAAGGTCAGTAACAGTAGCATGCAAATCAGATTGGTAACAAGCAGAAGCAAGCAAAAGTACTTCCAAGAAAGAATCCTGGGTAAGAGTTTGCAGAATTAAATCACAATAAATAAAAATCCCAATCCAGAAAACAAAAGGGAGCAGGAGGCCTCACTACACAAAAAGATATGAACAGTTACATCATAGTAGGTGTTTACAGAGGATAATAAGTCCAATGATAACCTTGTACAGCAGAGACATATGCTTTTTGACAAACAAGAAACAAAAGAAATATTTTAAGTGATGGATTGAAGGTAACTAAGAATCCAATTGAAATAAAATTACAGTTTGACTGGTACACTTTCAAGGGAGTCCATTTTCATGAACAAGCAAAATATCTAGCAGATTGGGAGAAGAATTCCTCATCTTAACTAACACATAGGAGAGAAACCAAATGCGAAGATTTAATCATGAAATATCAAAGTTCTGGGCTGCTGCAGAAAATGCTTTCAAAGTCAAAGTGGGATGACAGGTTGTCATTGTAAAATAAAATGAAACTATGGTGTCGATAAAAAAAAATATCACCAAAAGAATCTGAAAAGTTTTTTGGCAAATATTATGTACACCTTTGTTAGGAACTGACGGATATGCATTTAGAATTTCCTATTCAATCTTGGGTCAAGGCATCTGCTGACAAGGCTGATGGATCTATAGACCAGAAAAGTGATACTTGCAGTTCCAATAAGTAAAAAAAAAACATCTGTCATAAAATGAATGAAAACCTGACAGATATTAGAAGGCCACTCCATAAGTAATACCTTCTCTGTATGGAAGGTTGATCTGTCAGAAATTTCATGATTCAATGAATATAACAAGTTCTTAAAGTGTTGGAATGAGTGTTCATCTAAAGGAGTGGGAGTACAATCTCTGTGCACAGAACCTGAGAGCAAATCTTGCTAAACTTGATAATGTAGGAGACTATGGTACTGTTATCTAATTCAAATGGAGCCACATAGCTCCACAAGGTGTCCATTTATGTGTTTCTGCAAAACTCCTCACAATAACCTACCATGCTTTGGATGATATATCCCTCAGACAGTTAAATTTTAGGTTTGGAAGATTCAACAGAAAGCCTTGAAAAATGTTTTTCCAGCTCAAGGCCATCTGAACCAAAGATGCTGAATCAGAATCTCCATCCTTGGAGTTCTAGTTATGACATATGCTGATTTTCTGAGTGCTAGATAATCTCTTCATAACTTGGTATATATCAATTCAAACTTTGATTGTAAAATTCATTATCACTGTCTTTGACTGTTTGAATAGAAAACAAAATTACTTAGATTTAATAATGTTAAATACTAGTAACAAGATAAAATGTTTTTTTTTATATATCCTAAGGCCATGGTAATTCTTCTGTATTTGTGTGAATATACAATACACTGCTTGTTTTCTTATTATTTGTAAGAGATTGTGTCAACTACAAAAAAATGGTTTTTGTTGTTTTCAGGACTGGATAATTGCTCCTGATGGTTATGCAGCATCCTACTGTCAAGGTGAATGTGCCTTTCCTCTGAACACCCCCATGAATGCCACCAATCATGCAATTGTGCAGACATTAGTCCATTTGATGGACCCAACAAAGGTTCCTCAACCATGTTGTGCCCCAACAGACTTGTCCCAGATCAGTATGCTGTACTTTGACGACAATCAAAATGTTGTGCTGAAAAAGTATCCCAATATGGCTGTCAAGTCATGTGGCTGTCATTAATAGCACCAAAAATTTTTTTTTTCGTTTATGAAATTCAAGTCTTGTGGATACCATTAATAACACCATACTTTGTCTTTATATTGCTATCAAGTCTTATGGATATCTGTAGGAATATCAAGTTTAAACTCCATATGACTGTAAAGTCTTGTGAACAAAAAATTTTGATAAACTCTGTACTGATGGTAATGCTCAGGTGTATGTAAAAGCTTCCCTTTATTGAAAACTTAAAATATTTATTTCATCTTTTAAAGGCTATAAAAATGTCATATTTTCATCTATGAAACTGTGATTAATAGGTTTCGTGTACAATATTAGCCAGGGTGAGAAATAAAAAAGAAAAAAAGAGAGACCTTAGCTCAGTAATTGTCTTCCATATTGGATAATCAAATTAACCCCAACAAAAATATCATCCGTAGGGTTAATCACACTAGTACATATCCCAGCTTCTTAATTACTCTTCTTATAGGAGTTACTTAAATCACCTTACACATCACAACTTGTTAATACCTCTTCTTATAGGATGAGCATTGTACACCCAAAGACCATTAGCTTAGTAATACCATTCCCTTTAGAATGAAAGCAATAACACACCCACTACCTAATGCTGTTAAACTTTTTCCTACATTTGTCACTTCACGTGTATCCCACATTAATACCTCCTCCCATAGGGTTACCTTCACAAAAATCTCAGCTCAGTAATATTTTTTGCTATAAGATCAAAACAAACTCATTGATCCAAGCTCAATATGTTTTTCTTTGTACAGGATTCTCATTAACCTTCACACATGTACCTTTTCAGTAATACCTCCTTTTTCACAAACAGTAATAACCCACTTATAGACTTCAACTCTTAATAGCTCCCTTTACAGAATGAACACTGATATTAACCTACCCAAATGTCCCAGCTATGTGATATGTTTACAGCATGTGAATCACACACTACTTCCCCAAATATAAGTTTAATTATACAACAATGTTGAATGCAAAATGTTCCACTAAACCACTAAAAATGTTGTAAATAAAGTTATATTTACAGGTAAGTTAACTCATCTGAAACTAAAAGAAATCACTGCAAGGAATAACATAAATCAAATTTATGTGATACCACAAAATATTCCATACAATTTAAACTGTGGGTGCATTATAAAATTGGCAGTAGATCCCTTAGCATGGATGATGGGTGGTAGGGTGCTGCTGACTGGCTGCCTTTCCTCTGGTTTATTGTAGAAAATTAGAAACAGCAGCAGATAGCCCTAATAGATTTGTCATAAATACAAAAAATATTTGAAAATCATTATTTTCAGAAAATCATATGTGTACGTGTGCCCCAAAAAAATATAATTTAAGATTTATTGCCAGTTTAAATTTTAATTCTAAATTCTGTTTGCTCAGATTTATATTAATTCTTTTTTAATTACTTCTCTATTTCATAGCTACTAATTAAATGTCACCTGGATAGGTTGATGCTTTGTGTTCGTATGGTGATGTACAGTCATTACTTACATGTTATTAAGTCATGTGTCTGTTGTGATGTAGACAACAGTTGGAATTTAATGCTTTAGTTTAAGCAAATATTTCATGCTAGTATTTTGAACTTGTAATAAAACTGTGGTTCAGAAATCAACAGAAAATACACTGTTGATGTCATGTTTAAAATATATCTGTGTTCCAAGTTACTTTTCTAACCTCCTACCGATTGGTTTTGGCACAATTATACAACTCACTGTGATTGTTTACAGTCTGGAGTCAAATTATGCAAAATCTGATTTCTGGCTAACACACTACTGCATTTACAAGAGAAAGATAAAATAGTGTGTGCTACTTTTGAGGAATATAAAGATTTTAGTGGTATATTTGACACTGTGCCATTATTTTCATTGTTTGTGTAACCCTTTTTGCTTGTAATATCATTGTGCAGCAGCAATTAATAATGTATTTTTGGATTTCATTTTGTGTTATTCATGTGAAAAAAAAGGCGAAGTTGTATATGTCATCCGTTTTTCATTTTTAATAACCAAGAAGAGAGGAGTGTAAAATAATGAAGTTGATATCGTGACATCAGTTTCATATAGCATATTAAATGTATATTAAAATGTTGTTATTCATACTTTTGTTAGATAGCAGCATTGAAACTGTTATGAGAATAAAATCATGTATTATCTGTTTGCTAGAAACACAGAGATGTGTGTGTGAAATAATTTTGACTATTGTACTAGTTTCATGTTCTGGGTTACCTGTGTACTAGTTATATAGAGATTAATCAAATAATAATGTGCCTTCAGTTTCATATTTTTTATTGTGTGCTAGTAACACAGAATAAAATGTGAAATAACACTGATTAGATCCTGTCGTTCATTTTGTATTCTGTATGGAAATAATATTGATGATAACATGTCATCACTTTCATATTCCCTATTATATGTGTACTAGTAACACAAAACCAGTTTCAAAAGGTTATGTTTATATTGTGCTTGGAGGTTTTGCTCATTCTACCCTTTTGAAAGCAACAAGTGACTGGAGTAAGAGGATCATGTTGATAGTGTATACTTCGGATGTATTTACTGTGTTATCTGTATACTGATACAGTAGGGATTAGTTATTTGTGTGAGAATAACAGGTTATACAATAAAAGTGAATAGAACAAGAAGGGTTATTATGAACAGTAGGTGTTAAATAAACTATATTTTAACTATTGTCAATATTGGTGAAATTTAGAAGAATAAGACAACATACTTGTTTTCATTATTAGTATATCATCTTGTATTTATATAATTAAACATATTAAAGTCTGACAATATTCAAATTACTGTCGGTGTTTTTTCTTACACTACTTAACATTACTTTAAGTATCTGATAAAACGAGTCTTGGGTTTTTGTTAAACTTGTTTCCACACCCAATGACACGGAAAAAGTGAGGCGTGTTGCTAGGTAAAGTTAAATCACATTTAATATCTTTGATTACACATGTTAAACTAATGTTCAAATAAATGACATAGCAACTATTTCACCTTTTGAGACATATAATTGATTTTTTTGATGAACTTATTATTCGTAATACAATAAAAACCACAAGGTAACACAGCCATTTTGCATGCTTTGCATAATGGCAGATCATCAGTGTTGATGCATATATGAATGAACCATAAGTTAGGCCACTTTGTTAAAAGAAATGGTGCAGTAAAAAAATTGTCTAAAGTATCAAATCTAATATAAATAGACAGTAGTTCTCTCATTCTATTTTAGACATATAGTTATTTAACTGGCAGTTGTTTAAAAACATGTAACAAAACATAGAAATTGCTTATATGAGTGATCATACAACACAATCAAAATGAACATGGTTCATCACTTCTGCTAGTGAAGTAGAAATTCCATCTTCTCATATGCACATCATCATCTGCTGATAACTGCTGCAATGATAGTGCTGTCATGGTAACAAGACTGCAAAGCTCGAGCTAATAAGAGGTTAAAAGTTTTTAGTTTGATGACATTTTGCCATCTCTAATTTTGGAGGAGTTTCACTCACTGCAGCCATAGCTGTCAGTTTTTTCTTCTTTGACAACTTATCTGATGTGGTTATCACAACACTTGTAGCCATAGAAATGGTTACTGTCATCTCACATGGATTCTCTCAGAAATCTCTTGACAAACTTGTTTATACAGATTTCAGTCAGTAGATGCTATATTGGGATATAACTTTCCATATATGTAACACAGGTCATCTGCATATATGAATACATTCTCATTAAGTTAAACTCAGCATAAAGCTATGCATCATGACTCTCAGTCCAACTAATTTAACCAATTATTCACCTAAATTGCCTCAAGTCTTCCTTTACAGTACCTTTGAATATTGGCAAGCTAACCTGCTTTACATCACCACCTCTGTAAAAGAAAGTACTGATGCCCATATTCAGCTTCTTGGCTGATAAAATGCTGAAATGCCAATTACACCAAGGACAACTGTTTATCTCGGTATCTGATAGGACATGCATTCATGTTATTTCTGACCACTAGGAAGTCTAGAAATTTCTTGACTGTGTAAGGTATCTCCTAGTTTAGTGCTTTAAATTCACCTAATGGTAGTGCAGCTCTTCCTGGTGGACATTGTCTTCTAGGACAATCTCATGTATTTCTTGTTTACTGATGACTCCAGCCATAGGGTTCAGTAGTGCATGTTGACTGCCTTGGATTCCTACAATAACTGCTCATCACCAGGTTTACCAAATCTAATGGTCAATCTCTCCTACAAACTAAAGGTACATGTAACATCTATGGTTATATATCAACTCCTTGATTCAAAGGCAAGATCAAGAATGAATGCATGGTTTACTGCATCTGTACTAAAAGACCTTCAACCAAGAGAGGATTTTTCCTAGGCTATAACATATATTCATCTCAATTGCTCTTTCTTTTCTCCACTTTAAGATCTTTGTGATCTTGGCACATACAAAATTTTCAGTTTCAATAATAATAAAAAAAGTACAAATGGAAAACACAGAAGCACATCTGACTAGTATTCTGCAATAGCCCAGATTCAAATCCTAGCCTAACCACTAAAACCTTAACTTAATATATTCTTAAAAGCTAAAACTAATGAGTATTAAATCTGCCAAGTCACAATGTTCCAAGTATATTTTTTTTTTTGCAGTGTGTAAACTGGTCAAACTTGATAAAAAAAGAAGTGACACTGATGCTTTTTTTTCACTTTAAAATAATGAAAACCCTTTATTAAACAATTCATAGATAAAACAGAGGCAAATGATGGCTGTAAAAATCTACTTCTATATGACCAGCTTCTCTCTCTCTCTCTAAATACATATAGCAGCACAAGCTCACCAAATAGCTCATAAAGACAAATCTGAGTTAATAAATGTGATTATACAAAGTGTTATTTTACTTGGAACTACATTAATTAATCTTGATGTTTTCATTTCACAAAAACAGCTATTCTTCACTTTTAAGCACAACTTTGGTGTCTATGATTCTATATTTATAAGTTGTAGATAAATTTCTGTTCCAAAAAATGTCTCAATTGTATCTCTGTACTCATAGCACCCAAAACTGTATTTTTATGGTGGAGTGAAAGATACTATACGAGTCATCAACTAGAAAATACACCCCAACAAGTAAACTATTTATCTTTTATTGTCAGCTCTGAAAATTACATACCTATATCTATCCAACAAAGAACTTTGAAAAAGAACCTAATGATACACACGTTTTTGTTAGGAAGAAAGACATTTTTTCTTTGTACAGGAACTCTCTTGTAAGAAAATTATGATAACACCCAAATAATGAAGTGATGCATTTTAATTATTACAAGTTTTTTTGTTTCTCAACATTACATACTAGTTTAACTAATATGTTAGTTTATCTACATTACTTACTAGGTTAATTTCTATATCTAATCTATGAAAGAAATTTGTTTTGATTATAAAATAATTGATAAACACAGTATTTTCTTCTACACAAAGGTGGCATTTAATGCAAAATGGTTAAAACTGGTCAAAAGGAATATAGGTCATCTGGCTTTTTTCACTTTTCCATTACAGAAATTTAACCATTTGTATCTTTTGAAATTTGTTATGCTATTGCTATATTAGATTGTTATTCATGTTAAATGATATAACTGTAATTTATAATACTAACAAATATTTTTTTCTAGGTGCAGAAATCTTTTTGTTACTTCACATGTATTCAAATCTCAATGTTCTGTCATATGTCAGGATATATAATTTAAGTGAAATAAACTATGCAGGAAAGTGCATGTATATATATCGCTATCTAAATAAGAAATTTTTAAGTTAGCTACTGTTAAAATGTAGCAGAAGATAAAACTACCAGTTCAACTTTTGCCCAGTTTGAGTTTGGAAATGATGGATGGTAAAATTGAAACATTAAAATATACAGGGTATCCCAGAATGCTGGACCCATAGGTTAAAATACACATTTTGTTCTTAATATATCTATTATTCAAATTGCATGCCATTAACAGCCATTCACATGTCAAATATCAATTCTTGGTATACTTTGCCATAAGGGTATTTTCTTTCTCGAAATATGTACAACTGACATTAGAATTGTTTGTTTAACTTTAAGAATGTAATGTCTATTTTCCTTATGGATCCAATCTTCTGTGACACCCTATATATACATATACACACATACAGACACACACATTTAGGAATTAATGGTGAAACAGATTTATTTATAATTGTAGAAACTTACAGAATTGAAACCCCAAAACAGAGTACACAAAGTCATATCACTATTTCATGGAATAGTTGTCATACATAGTTATGTAACAACCATATATAGATGTAGCTTCAAGAAAACATTACTAAACAGTTTGACTCAGTTCAGCAATGGCTGGTTTATTAATAAAAAAAATTATTTAATCCAAATGACAGTATACATGTATATCTGTAATAAAGGTGGTTAACTGAATAAGCAAACATGGTAAAAAAACAGGCTTACATATACACGTAGTTAAAATATAGCATTACTGAACAATGGATGATTTCTTTGACTTGCTTAAAAAAACTCACAGGAGATGAAATTTATATCATTGAAATAAAAATATATTTTTTTTATAGCTATGATTGATTTGCCTGCAACAAGGTTTATTACAGAATAGGAATTTGAAATGCTGATTATATAACTGAATAATAATATAACATCATTATGAGATGGCTGGCTGAGAAACAAGATTTAAGTTACTGAAACACATTACAAAATACATTTGTAAGCTCCTTGTAGCTGTGTTTGGTTTCACTCATTTACTACCAGTTGATTGTTTGAGAATCAGTTTTACTTGCTTGAAACACCAATATAATATTACTCTAGCCAAGGTTGACCGGTTAAGAAATCGGTTTACAAGGTTGTCTACCAAATTACAGCTATGGTTCAATATTTGTGAATGGCCAGTTTGAGTATCTAGTTTAATATAATACCTCAAATAAAATTATAAATCTTTAAATGGTGGTCCAAAAAAAAAAAAAAGCTTCATCCGATTAGAAGCTACTAGACAATGTTACCTAGTTCTTCAAATAATTCAAAAAATGTGAAACATTTATTTGTAGATTCTGCTCCCATATTAACTCAGGAGACATGGCACTCACAACATTACAAGTCATGACAGAAGGTTGTAATTTCTTGTGTATTATATTGCTTTACTAGACTTTGGTGTAGCTGGTTTAATTGAGTAAGCTGCATTATGATTTATTTAGATATGAAAGATCTACAGTGAAAGACGTAACATCAGCAGATCTGAGAACTGCATCTGGCTGTGCTCCTAAAGCTGTTGTTAGATTTGATACACAAAAGTGCAATATATCTACATCACAGGCTCTGAAAACTGCTGTCACATTTGTATTTTCATGCAAGGAAAACTTTACTTCATGGCCAACCAATGAGGTAAGGGTCCACAGAAACTGTTCTCGTAAGAAGGCACGAGCAGCTTGTTTCTCTAAAGTTTCTTCACTGTGTGATGGCTCCATTAGTAGAACTATAAACAAAAATAACAGATAAAACAACAAAATACCAAATGTCTAAATACTTGCATGCTACTTAACAAAACATCCTACAATCTGCAACATTGAGTTATGTATTTAATACATTCATAAAGTAATTTCACATGTACAGATAGAAAGCAGTGTTGCTTGCAATATCAAATTAACTATTATAATATACTAGTAGATGCCCATTGAAAAATTCAATGGAATTTTCATTAAAATAGTGATGAATAAATATCAAATGCACAGTCAACCCAATCCATTGGATTAGAGCATATATGCAATATGATTGCCTAGTTGGCTATTTACAACTGTCTTTTGTCAATCTGTGTGTTATTTCAATAACACGTGAACAAAAAAGAAAGTAAACAAATAAAACCACAACAAAGGTTACTGCAGTCTGGCAAATATAGCCTTTACTTATAAAAATAAAAGTTTTGTTTTTGGTCTATGACCAGTCTAATAATAATAAAAAAGTAGAGCCAGTTGTAGAAACAATTATGTGCTTGGTTACCAGCTGAAGTATAAAGATATTATGCAACATGTTTTTAACTTGTAAAACATACTCTCTGCAGGACATTTCTATATTTATATGCACAATAATCAAGTCTTTAAACTTTTTTTTTCTGATTATATAAACATGCATGCAAGTACATGACAGTAACATGAGTTGGTGTAATAAATTAGAACTCAGTTCATAAATAAATATTGTAGAATGAACATTTTAACAACAGTATCTTGCACTCTTGCTTAAAATTAACACAAGTGACATAAGTAACAATCAATTATATCTCTTGAACTGCTTTCTTCCACTTATTAACAACTTGGAACATTATAAAGACTGTTTAAACTGTAAACATTCAGGGATTATGAACACCAAACTTCTCAATGCTTTTGTTTGCTGATGTAAACTACCCTCAGTGCTACTTTACAGCAATATGAGCTTCATATGAGCACTGTGTTGAACTCATATAAACTCTTAGTTAACTTCAATACCATTCTGATATTATCCTATGCTTATAATTATATTTTTCTAACAAATTAAATAAATATTGAATTCATTGCATTTTCATATTCCTTCTTATATCAAAATCAAACTAAGTTTGATTTGTATAAAGTAATGTAATGAAACTAACTCAAAAAATTTATAAAATTTTTTGAGCTGTGCTTACTGAAAACATTAACAACAAATATATAAAATAGACAATGTAATCCACTTTTGCTGTCAAGTTGTTTTAGAAAACAGTAAATATAATTCAAAATAAAATTCTAGTTGTATGGCAAGTAACAAACACCTTCTTTTGACAAAGGAAACTAAGCTATAAATATGCAGTAAAAACAGTTTCCAAGATTCACAAAGTTATGCTATAATGTTCATTTCATTATGTAGTTAACATATTGATGTTTTATTGGACCAATTAGTTGTATTAAAAGAGGTGGGTTATAATGTTTGAAGAACATCAGTGGACAGTCTGCAACTGATACAGAATATTCACTGTACAATGTTACCTTGTCCACTCAATCACTTGTTATTTAAGTAGTAAATCACATTAGTTGTAATCTGTGCCACAGAGATCATTAATTGTATCTACAGATGCAGAATCACTGTCAATCAACATATGAGATTTTCTACAATTCATGGTTCCAGCAGCTCTTTGGTAAGCTTGTTTAAATAATGAATTTATAAAAAGTAGAATAGTTAAGCTTGACTAAGCTAAATGCTTCCCCCTCAAGTGCAGTTAAAGAACATTTTTTGAATAATCTTCACTAGCAAAATATTTTTTTCTTTCACAAACTTGAGCTGTAGTGGGTCTAATAATGTTACCATAATTAGAAAAGTTTGTTTGGACCTATCAAATATGGTTTAACCAAATATCCACTACCGGCACTTGTGTTTAAAATTTTTTGCTAAAATTATAATAAATAATTAATTAAAAACGTAGATTACGTCGAAACATGTATTTGTAGAGATTTTAAAAAAAGGACGTAGATCACGTCGAGACATGTACTTGTAGAGATTTTAAAGCCGTAGATCAAGTCGAAACATGTACTTGTAGAGATTTTAAAGACGTAGATCACGTCGAAACATGTACTTGTAGAGATTTTAAAGACGTAGATCATGTCGAAACATGTACTTGTAGAGATTTTAAAGACGTATATCATGTCGAAACATGTACTTGTAGAGATTTTAAAGTGGAAGCTGTACGATTTCAATAAAAGTTTTTATTGTGTAAATATAAAATGTTGTTTTTAATTAATTATTTATTATAATTTTAGCAAAAAAATGGTTTAACCAACTAAGAATGATCAGACATGTGTCAAGAAGTTATTTTTCTTTTAAAATGCATAGATTTCATTGCTCCAATGCCCGACAAATATAGATCAGTCAGTTTGGGTGGACATTAGTGGTACTGACAAGACTTCTCCAATTCCTCTTTCATTACATGAAGTATATCTACAGTCTATGTATTTTCAATCATTACTGGCAAATTTATGACAAAATTAGAAACATTATTTGTATTTATAACTGGTAATATAATCTGACTGATACTGTCTACTGCTATGCTGTTCTTTCTAGTTTTTAGCAACATTTTGTTTTGCTTGAACTCTCAAAATACTTCCAGCTTTGGGTACTTCCCCTAGAAAACTACATAACCTACTGAGCCAATAATACTAGATCATTTCAATAATTCTGCCATTTTGTGCAAGTGCTTAGAAATCTTAGAAGCAAGTTATAATACATTAGGATATCAAACAATCTCCCCATTAGGCTTTATCTCAGTAGCTACTGCTCCCAATAATAACCTCCTTTAAATACTGATCTACTAAGACAGTGGTTTCTATAGGCAGCCCATAGGCTGCATCACACCTTCAAAAACCTAACTTGTGGCCTGCAATATGAACAGATATTGCAAAGGTAAACAAAAATGTATTTGGGGAACGATATACTGCTCAACAAGCTCAGGCCTGGCTCTTACCTTTATGGTCATTATCCTAAGTGGCCCAGTGTAGAAAATAACTTTGGATAACGGTACTAGGGCTTCAAGCCCAAACATAAACTCCTTATGGTTCAGTAAAATGTGACAAAAATGCAAACTATCCTTTGAATGTTATTCCATAAATCTCTTAAGCTGTAAAAAGTACAAAATGGTGATAGTTTCTATCCAAAAAATCAAATTGATATATAAAAGAACCCTAGTTGTTACAATCTACTACTTAAACAAAACTACCATAAACTGATTACTTGGAAAGTAGATAAAATTTTTTCTGAATAAAAAATAAAAGCTTAAGCTACCAACATTTATAGTAATGGTCGCCGATCTTGAAAATTATGTCATACTTTATAGCCCTATTCTTTCAGATACGGGCAGTTTTCCACTTCCTTTACAGTTTTGAACACACGAATAAAAATAAACCTTTACGGTTTTTAAGAAAAAAATTAGCTCAAAGATGTAACTCATTCCTACTTAAATATTCATGTCTAACTAACCTCAACATAAATGGATGATGTAAATGCAAATAGACACTGGACATTAAATGTTTTGCTAGGCCTTAGGTGTGGTGTTATAATCAATCTTAAACTTGTAAATTGTTTAAAAACTATGCAGATTATGGACCTAGTTGAAATATAAAACTACAATATAATGAGAATTATTGAAACTTAGCTATATAGGGAAAATATTGATAACAGGAACTATTTTAAAATTCTACATTATTTAATACGGATAGGCTTTTTAAAAGAGGGGTGGGGTGATTCTTCTGGATGAACTGCAGCTTATTAAGGTTGAAAAAAGGTAGTTATAGGTTATGTTTATATGGTTTACAATCATGGATTTCAATGGTAGAAAACTTTCACTTGGCACTTTTTATAGGCCACATGATCAGACAGAAATGGTCAATGAGAAATTATTAAGGATATTATGATGTCTACTAATAAAAACACAGATACAATAATTATGAGATAGTTTAGTTTTAGACACATTAGTTGGGATTGTAACTAAGCAAATAATGAGGTAGAGATATGTTGAAGAGATTTAGGACAGTTTTCTATACCACATGGTCAGAGTGCCAACCAGGAGGAATACTGCTTTAGATTTATTGTTAGGTTTGATGTTTTGCTAAACACTGAGAAAAATCTAAATGAAATTTTAACTCCTAATTTACAGAAAGCAAATTTTCAGGCCATGAGACAAGATTTGTCACTAGTGAATTGGGGCAATGAATTAAAATGTGATGCACGAAAAATTTGGCAATTTTTTAAATTAATTTATTTCAAGATAGGCATGTTTTAAAAAGGATATCAGGGAATATCAAACATAACTGGGTTATTAGAGACATAAAGGAGAAATTCAGTGACAAATGGCATAAATGTAAGTTTAAACTGAAAAGTAAGAAGAACTGCTAAACTACAGGAAGGTTGGGAATGCAGTTAGAAATAAAATTAAAAAATACAAGAAGGCTTATGAGAAACAGCTGGCATACAATATCAAAAATACCAGCAAGGACATTTTTTTTAAGTACAAACAAAATGTTAGAAAGGGGTATGGGTTCTTAAAGAATTCTAATGTCAAGGTTTTTGTTGAAGACTATGAGATGTTTTCTTCTCTGTTTTTACAAGAGAAACTATTAGCACTATTCGTGACTCTTACCTTTCTATAGGAAATATTGGAATGACCTGAATCATGTAGATATTAATCCACTGGTGGCAAGTAGTGAACAAGAAATTAAAAACAAATAATCAGGGCTAGTAAAAGTTTTCCCCATGGTTTTAAAGAGGTCAAAGATAAGAGATAATAGTCTCATTTTTGTAGATCAATAGAAAGTGGGCAGATGCCTGGGGACCAGAGAGTTGCTTGAGTTACACCAGTTGCTACAGAAATTATAGACCAATTGGTCATATTTCTGTTGTGGTTAAAATTATATAGAGTCTGATAAAAGAAGCTTTACAAAATCATTCATTAAAATGTGATATCATAAACACAAATGTTACTTATTCTCTGTACAAGGAAAGGGTGTATTCTTAAGATTGGTTGGTTATTTTCAGTGACACATTGGGCTATCTGCTGTGTTCTAACCCTGGATTTTAGTGTTGTCTGTTCGTAAACTTACTGCTGTCCTACTGGTGGATTTAGATTTACGAAATATATTGATAAGGTGTCACACAAAAGATTAGCTAAGAAAATCACAATGGTAGGGGATAGAGAAAGATGAGTTAACCCTTTCACCATGGAAAGCGACTATAGTCAATATAAGATTGTTGTTGACAGAGAAGATCGACTTTTCTCTACAGGCACCACAAATTTTTTACTCTGCAATGAAAATGACAACCCTCCATGAGCTTGAATTGACCACCAGATACCGGGTGTGCTGACATCTGGGAGTGTGAGCAGCAAACACAAGTATAAACAATCCTTCAGCTGGGACACCCAGCTAGCAGACGACACAAGGTACACAGAGATATCAGTTGATTGGCATATTTTCTTTGTGTTTTACTATAAGTTAGGTAAGTTATTGATGCCATAAAGTCAAGATATGCAATGCAAGTGTGTCTTATATGTAATGATACATAATACAGTAAAATATTCTGCAAACTTACGATATTTTTGGTGGAAAAATGACTGATTTGTGACTAACCATGAAATCTAATTACGCAGTGAAATGGTTAGCTGGACTGTAAACTGGATTTTAAGAAATCTGGATGTGAGAAAGTATAAGTTCGTTATCAGTGGAATCTAGTCAACTCAAGGGGCAGTGTGTGTGCTTCTGTTTTTTCTTATTTACATTAATGATATTGACAGGGGTATAATTAGTAAGTTTTGTGGGTGTATATTAATAGTCATAAAGGGCCACATATATACATATACAGCTGTACTGAGGATATTGAAGCATAACAGAATGATTGATCAATTTGTAAGCTGGCCAAATAATTGGCAAATAGCCTTTAATAATAGTTAATGTAAGGTAGTGCATGTGGGTTATCATAGTCAGGATCATAGATTTATTATAAATGGGAACCAGTTCAATAACATGAATGACGAAAAGGATTTTGGCATATTTGTGAATAATTTCTTCACGCCACTGAAGCAATGCTAGTAGTAAAGCTAACAGAATTTTAACATGTATTTATAGAAATACTGACTGAAGTAAAAAATGTACAATTATCTTTCTACAAATCACTAGTTAGTCACATTTAGAATAATGTGAATAGTTTTGGTCTTATCTAAAAAATGACATTGACTTACTGGAAAGGATTCAGAGAGTACTACTCCGATAATTTGATTCAGGGGTTATCTATACTCTTACAGGGCTCCTGATATGTTGATGATATATTTGGTAGATGACAAGATGAAAGGATGCAAGTTGAAGATTTGAAAATGACAGGCTAGGCTCCAATTAACAGTTTTAATTTTCTAATAGGGTGATTGATTTATGGAAAGAGTTGCCTTCAGAAGTAGTGGAAGCCAGTACTTTAAAAGTTTAAAAAGGGAGTTGAAGAATTCCTGAACCATTAACTGTATGTGTAAATTTTTATTTTTCTCAAGGGAGAGTGAATAGTAATGGTTGTGACGGACCACATGGGTGGTTCTAACAGTTATACACAAATAAACATCACTTAACATAAAGGTTTGTGATGTTTTCTGCACATGTTCTGTATGACTAGCATAACTGTTAAACTGGCCATGTTGTGATCAATAGCACATTTAACTTCTAAATAAAATTAATTTAATACTTATGCAGAGTTCAAAGTTAATATATATCTGGTGTCATCTTGCTGCCTGAAACTATGATTCTGCTATTAGTTATATGATGTAGTAGAACTTACTTAAACCTTAAATACAGCATGTGTGAATGAATACTTTTTCCTTTGTTAGACAAATGTTTTAACATTTTTTTCCAAATAGCAGGAAGTTATTACTATCAGAGCTTCCTTATTAGTGGCTGATAATTCATAGTTTAGTATTGCTCCATGGAGATACCTAGGAGGTTCACATCTAAATGCATTGGTAACATTAATAAATTCTCTAGTTATGAAGTTTATTTTATAGATCAATGTAAAGTTAGATGAATATTGTTAAAATGTTGTAATATATTCTCAATCCAACTCTCAGCTAGATTACAATTGAATATAAACTAATTAGATAGATAGATATTACTTTATCAGAATCCTTACTATATAAATAAATACACTATATTAAGTAATGTAGCAAGCTATATAAATATCCAAGTAAAGTGCATTAAAAGGAACTAATGAATGAAATATTGAGAAATGCATTGATTCTTGTCTTTTTTTTTCTAAATAAATCCTAGTAACTTAACTGAGTACTGTAGTTTTAGTTTTGTTTTATTGAGTGAGATTCACTGTCATGCACATGCATAATAATAATCAGACAGAATAATATTTTTAACCTGGACAATACTTCTTATTACATACTGAAAAAAAGTTGTATCAATATACTTCCTTAAAACTGAGCTAAATTCAAATGTATGATGCAAAATTTGAATTTATGGCTAAAGGAAAGGAGAAAAATGTCATGGTAACAGTTTAATATATGAATGTTACAGCATTTTTCTTGTTTAATTAAACAAATTTCAAACACTGTAGCTATTGATTTCATTTGCAGCTCTTTATGAATGTGAATTTTAGAATAACAATAAGTTGAACAAATCTTTTAAATGTGTTGCTACCTGACAGAATATATATATTTTTAATAGTTTACTTGTGAGTGCCAGGTAACATGGAAGGATGTAACTTTACTGCAAGTTTAAACTTTAAGAAGCCTGGAGCTGTAGGTTGCTTTTGAATTACTCTTGATTTAAGTTTGAAGAATAGAAACAAATCAAAGTTTAAAGAAAATACCGGTTTTTCATATGAAATATTTAGGACAGATTGTGCTTTTTATTATATTCTTAATGAAAAAGAAATGTAAATAATATAGGCCTAATCAATATTCTTTGTATATGTAAATTTAATTGTGAAACATTATTGTACCAAACTCACAAACAATGAAAAAATTATGCAAATTTTTGTTTCAGGAAAATACGGTGCACTATGTGGTAACCACTAAAGTGGGTTATCATTGGTCTAATAGAAATACTAGTATTAGGACTGACAGTGATATCTCAGTATCTGTATAACTCGCCAGTCCTACACATGTCCTATTCTGAATATTCACATTTATGCAAGTTGCAACAGCCCATTGCAAAAACAACATACTTCAGACTCAGTTCAACATTTCAAGAAATTCTAACATAAAATAAATTCAACAATACATATCTGTAAGTGTAACACATATATAAACTTACACACACGAGGTAGCTACGTTTTTGTGATGAAACAAGAGGCATGAAACACACGAACCTCAAAATTAAATATAACACTCTCTAACACATACATCCCTTACACTAAGCATCCTGAAATATTTTGAAACACCCTATACCAACACTGCACTACTGAACACGAACAATTGATGTCACAAAATATATAAAAAAATAGCGTGTGAGAATAAACTCAATAAAGTATTAAGTTCATCCTAAATTGGAAACAACATTTGTGTTTTATGACAAACGAGATGGCGATGGTTAAAGAAGTTATACTTGTTTGTTTATTTGTAGTTAAGGGCAGAGCTACACCATGGGTTATCTCTGCTATGCCCGCCACGGGTATCAAAACCCGGTTTCTAGCGTTATAATTCCGCAAACTTACCGTTTTTCCACTAGGGGTCAGTTATTCTAGAAGTAAAAAGGGAGTTAAACATAACCTATAAGACAAAAGAGAAGCAATTAGGAGCGTTGCAGTCTCTTTGTAGTATAATACAGCATATACTTTTGTAATTTTGCTTAGTTTTTGGAGAGAGAGACATTTTTATACTTTCAGCAAGCAGTACATGCATTATCAAAGAAACGAAAAATCCAATAAGAATCAAACGATTATCTGCAATAATCTGTATCTTTTAATGACCTTGTATCTTACGTCTCTTCAGTTTAACTCCTCTCAACAGGTTTGCATAAGTTCAGATCACAGATTTTTATCCTTGTCACTCGTCATACAACAAGATTGCACACCAATTAACTAGGAACTTAGCTTTCACATGTCACTGCTAGAAAAACCTTGTGTGAGTTTTTAACATGAAAATGACTCATTTAATATTGTTACGTCTCTGTTTGTTAATTAACTTTCCGTAACTTCGTTCCGACGAAACGTTAGCGACACAAGTCCTTACTTAATAAAACTGGTTTATTCTTTCCGAATATAACTTTACGATACACTTATTTTCAACAATCGCGCTAAAACAAACGCTTAAAACAACGAACGTCAACAATACTTCTGAATGCAGTTCAATTACTCACTATTTACACACACATTATTCGCCCGTCACGTTGTCACCCTCTTTTATATACCAGCTACCCTATATCTAGT